TTTGCCCATAGCTTTTGTGTGTGTGTATTCTTTTCCCCTTAGTAGGGAAAATTCTCCCCAATCATGTGAAAGGACCTGATGTGGAATTCCACCATAGCCACTGAACTAATGCATGTTGCTTTTTCCTTAAGGCGCCTAAGTGGTAGGGCTGTATGTTAATCCTGTCCTGAAAGGTGTCTTTTAGCAGCAGGGGAAATATGTTACTCTGTGCATTAATGGAAAAGAGATTATTTTCAAACACTTAAAAACCCTGAAGACTCTGTTCAGGGAACTTCCCTTTTTTTCACTACCCATTTAGAGAAAAGGTACCGCAGCTTTCCACAATTTAGAAATAGGGCTTTAAGTCTAGGGAAGGAAACTTAATGTCAGAAAATTAAAGGTGAAATGTGTGATGCTCAGGCAGTCTGGATGCTACACAGAGCCCTGTAACACAACACACACACACACACACACACACACACACATACACACACACACCCTTTTACTCAGAGTATGGTGGTGATTTTACAAAAGCAAGGTTAGGGTTACAGAAGTGCTCAGAAATTCTACCAATGCCTGATGGTTTGGGTTGGAAAATATCCCACTTAAAGCAGGAAAAAGAGATTAAAGCAAAAAAATATGGAACACAGGAGGGCTGTGTCAAACGATATGGGGTTGTAGAGGAAGATTTAACTCTCTTTAGAATGGTGGGAGAGGTCAGGATCACCTGCCCAGAACTTGAGAGGAAGGAAATGGGTCTGAACTGGGTGTTGTCTGTCATGGCCTCCCTTACAGATGGCTGGACCTACCTCTTAACCTCTGTAGATGGAGCAGTGTTTTGGGGAAGAATGAAGGAGCTAGGCTAAGGGTAGTGTCGCTTTTCCCCTGGAAAACTTTGGAGTCTTCTTGGAGCGAGAAAAAAGCCCATACTGCAGATTGAGTGGTAAATTAGAGGCATTTCTAGAGGAAAAAAGCCAAGTGACTTGGCTCAGACTTTTGATAATCAAGCAGGAGAGAGTGGGCTGCTGGTTGGATACTGAGCCAGCATCTTGGAGATACTTGTCAGCAGGAGAAACACATCCTGGTTGGTTCTTGGAGGGCAGATTGGTTTTCATTCCTGACTCTGGCAAGAAGAGTGAGGCAGGGAGACTGTCGCCTTTCTTCGTGCCTCAGTTACTTCACCTGTACAATGGGGTGATAAGACCTGTATCACCAGTACTTGAGACCTTAAATGAGGCAATGATCACAAGATACATATACATACACATGTATATGTATGTAGCGTTGGACCTGACTCATTAGTTCCTGCTTCTCGGCTACCTTCAAGTATTTTGCAACCATTTATTTATATTGCAAATCATAGATAAGGGTCACATCCTAGGTGAACAGTTTCTGAACCTGGACACAGATGTCCCCTGTCCTTGGCTTTTCCAATGTCCTCTTCTTTTGTAGTCCCTGTGACAGTTTAGCAGTCTTGGGAATTTCTCAGTGGTCTGTTTCCTGCAGTGGACAGTGAGTTTCTGAGGGGCAGAGTAAACCTACTCTTCTCTGTACATGCAGGCCTCGTTTCATGGTGCTTCACTTTATTGCCTTCTCAGATACTGCATTTTTTACAAATTGAAGGTATACGGCAACCCTGCATCAAGCAAGTCGCTTGTTAACATTTTTACCAGCCGCATCTGCTCACTTCATGTATCTGTGTCACATTTTGGTAATTCTTGCAGTGCTCTAAACCTTTTCATTATTGTTGTGTTTGTTATGGTGACCTGTGATCAGTGATCTTTGATTTTACTGCAACCTGCTAAAGGCTCAGATCAGTCAGTTCAGTCGCTCAGTCGTGTCTGACTCTTTGTGACCCCATGGACTTCCCTGTCACCAACTCACGGAGCCTGCTCAAACCCATGACCTTCTCATTGGTGATATCATCCAACCATCTCATCTCTGTCGTCCCCTTCTCCTCCTGCCTTCAATCCTGCCCATCAGGGTCTTTTCCAATGAGTCAGTTCTTCGCATTAGGTGGCCAAAGTATTGGAGCTTCAACTTCAGCATCAGTCCTTCCAATGAAAGGCTCAGGTAATCGTTAGCAGTTTTTTCATAGTCAAATATTTTTTAATTGAGGTATGTACATTGTGTTTGTAAATGTAATGCTATTGTACACTTAGTGACAATAATATAGCGTAAACATAATTTTTATATGCACTGGGAAACCAAAAAATTTCATGTGACTCTCTTTTGGTGGTCTGGAACTGAACCCTGGATATCTGTCTCTGAGGTATGTCTGTATTTCCATCTCTCAGCAGCTTGCCTGGAACAGAGGAAACATTGTTTTAAGTACTATATCATTTGTCAGTTTGTTTTTTTCAGGTTCGTGTTGATATGTCATTTGAGGTGAATTTATAGTCTTGTGTTTCCCAAATACTCTCACTGATTACTCCAGGTAATTGTGATCAAAGGAAGGGCCAAATTGTTCCACCTACCCCACCTAGAAGGGAACCTGGAAAGTTGTTGAACTTAGTTCACTTTCTTGAGCTTAGAAGGAAGACAAAGGTTTGCTATAGTGTCAGAGGAGTGATTGCACTCAAATGCTCATCCACAGACTGCAGTGTGGTGGCACCCTCCTTTTCTCCTGCATCTCTTATGTACCTGGAATTTGCTTTTTTTTTTTTTAGTGGTCTCTGCCTCAATAGAACTGGGAAGGCCCATCTGATACTTCATAGCAAAACCTTAAAATACAGCCTAAAACCAAATTAGAATAGGCTTTTTGGCTTTCCAAGTGGTACTAGTGGTAAAAGAACCCGACTGCCAGTGCATGAGACATAAGAGACATGGAAACCATCCCTGGGTCAGGAAGATCCCCTAGAGGAGGAAATGGCAACCCACTCCAGAATTTTGGCCTGGAGAATTCCATGGACAGAGGAGCCTGGAGGGCTGCAGTCCATAGGGTCGCAAAGAATCAGACACAACTGAAGCGACTTAGCATACTCATGACAATTTTATCTCTCATTATGAGTGCTGATAATTAGCAGAGTTAAGGATGGACATTTAAATTATGGCTTAGACAACAAAACATCTCTAGGAATGAAATTGCTGTTCAAATTACTTAATGAGATCTTGAAATCACTTAAACATGAGTCTAATCAACGCCATGATGCTGGGGGCTCCGAACTCAGAACCAAAGTGGATCATTGGAGTAATGATAAAAAGCACCGTGATGACCATTATCTCACACATTTGTGCAGTAAGCTAGAGTTTATAAGCCTCTTTCATATAAAAAGAATCTTAGCAAATTAGGACAGGAAGCGATCATAGAAATCATGTTGTAATGCAACGCCTTTATCTCATGAATGGGGGAAATAGGATTTTATTTCCATTGCTTTAAAATCACTTCAAAATGCCTGGAAAATCAGAGCTACTATTACTTCAACTTTATTTGGATATTCTTGTATTTTGAATTTTATTACAGATGTTTTGTAAGTGTCGTCTTGATCCTGGCCATTTCTATTTTAAATCTAAACACTAAAAATTGAAGAATGAAAAGCAGCCAGGAGTCGTTTTTTTTTTAATTAAGGTAATTTTGATATATAACTTTGTGTTACTTTCCGGTGTCCAATGTAGTGGTTTGTTATGTGTATATTTGGTGAAGTAATCACTACAATTAATTTAGTTAACAGCCATCACCACACGTTATTCCAGCTGTTTTTCTTATGGTAAGAAATTTTAAAATCAACTCTTTAAGCAATATTTCTCATTTACAGTATAGTCTTGTGAATGGTAGTGACATGCGGTATGTTACATCCCAGGACTTGACTTATCTTATAACTGGAAATTTGTACTATTTGACCACCTTCACTCATTTTGCCCTTACTTCCCCACATCCTGGGAACTGGGATATTTCATTTGATGGTCCTTGCAGGCCTGTTTTGCAAGGTAGGCAGGGCGAATTTATTATTCCCACTGCACCAGATGAAGAATACAAGGGTGGAAGATGAGAAACGTCTAGGTCTTGTTGATACAGTGGGGTGGGACTTTGCTGCTGCTGTCCTGATGCTCCTGAGTCCTCTCTGACTTTAAGTAACCTGCCTTTGTTGACACATGACCTGCTCAGTCACCCTTCCCTGCCCTGGAACTGAACTGGCCTCCCACCTTCACTATTTGCCCTGTTTGATGTCTGATTACCACCTTTTGTTATGGAAGTTATGTTTTCTTTTATCTGTTGGTTTCCTCCATCAGAATATAAGCCTCACAGGCTTTATTTATTTTGTTCACAGCTAGAATCCAAACACCTGAAATAGAGCCTGCCACATGTAGCTACTCAATAAATGCTTGTTAAATGATTGAATGAGTAATTAAAGAGGTAGATGGCAAACTCAGATAGTGTGAGGTAAAGAGACTTAGGAAAAAGCCTCACTATATTTTGAGAACTTGATATATGGTTCAGAAAATTAGCCTGTCCATTTGCTCTTCTGTAGTCTCAGCTCTTCATTTATTCATTGAACAAATATTTCAGAGTAAATATGCTTCCTGTGTTCTGGACAAGGTTCTAGGTGTTTGGAAGCCACAGTGACAAAACAGATTACAAAGTCCTATCACAGGAGAGCTTCCACTTTTTTGGGGGGGGGGGGAATGAGTCATGGAGATGATAATAAATTTAAGAAATAGAATTTATAAATAAAATGTATTTATAAATTTATAAATAAATATATACAAGTATGTATATTTATTTGTAAATAAATACATAACTTTGCAACTGTATGTGTGGGATAAGAATTAAAATATGAGGAGACGAGCAAACTGGAGATAAGTATGGAGGTTCCATTCTACATGTGGCTAAGAAAGTCTCAGAATTGACTTTTCACTGTCTGATGAATGAAGATGAAATCAGTAATTGTTGAAAGGGTGAATGTTTTAAAATCCCAATTGTTTCTGCATCAAAATACCTGTGAGATAGCATTCTTCAGGTAAAATGCATAGAATGCTTTCAGACGAGCACCTGTGAAATTAAGTTGAATCTCAAATCTAACCTCGTGAGTGGATTCCTCCTCCAGCTTTCCCCTCCTCCTCTGAAATGGGTAAGAACTGCCCCGTGGGAGCTGACCGTGGTGAAGCCGTGATGTAGACGTCGCTCAGCCCGGTGAGGCCCTTTTGCGAGCGGAAGTACATATCCGTGGCAGTCAAACAGCATCCGGGTCCAACCTCACCTCTTCCATTTTCCAGCCCTGTGACCTTCACATTTCCAGGATTTTCATTCTTCCAGTGATGATGTTAATTTCTACATTAGCCATTTTTTCTAACATGCCTCCAGGTTCCTGACCTACAGTAGCAGCTCAGCAAACATTAATTTCTCATTCCCTTGTGTATCTGTTTTGCATTAAAATTGCTCTGTTACGGAGGGATTAGAGTACCATGCAAGTGTGAAAAAGAAACAGTCCAGAGTCTTTTCTATGCACGCACACCAGCAGTAATTGCAGGGCTGTGATACATGGTAAACATCTCATGTCAGCTCATAAACTATGGTCCATTTTAATCAGATTTTAGATGTTATGAAGGCTCCAAGTAATTACAGTTATCTTTGCCTTAAATTTGCACTGCTCTTATTAAAATTCTTTTATTAAGTCTCCCTGCACCCTGGTAGTTATGGAGGGTTGTAGAATTTCTAAGTCAGGTAACTGGGCACAACGTTAGTCAGACAGAAGCTCTTATTATTTAGATGCAGGAATCGGTCCAAAAAGATGCTGCTGCAGACCCTGGACTTGCTGCTAACACTGGAACTCAGAGAGGAGGCAGGCTTTTCTGTTGTTGCTGCTGGTTCTTGCTCATTGTTGCTCATCTTTATCCTGATATAGTGCTTTATTTCGCCTTTACAAACTGCCCTCTGGTCCATTTTCTGTAAGGCAGTTATTATTATTATTAAAATGAGAAAAGAGACGCTCAAATACATTATTATTTGTTCATCCAAATCCTTTACCATTGGTGTGCTCTGGGTTAGGTGTTGTGCCAGGGAATCAGAAAGTCTGTGCAGATGTCTCTGGCCCAGGAGGAAGGCAGATCCAGGACGGGAACACAGATCCCCAGGTTCAGCCTCAAGGTTCCTTCCATTTCACTCTGCCAAAGACTTAGGGGCCAAACTGTAATATTGCTAATGCTAATCACCCTAAAAAAGATTGGGCTGTAAGGTAATACAGATGGGCCAGGATCATGACAGTAAAGAAGACTGTGTTTCTGCCCTCAGGGTGTGCATATCCTGTCAGGGTAGCACAGGCAAGCCTGACAACATCCTCAAGCACCAGGCTTCTGACCTGGGAGGCACCATGCCAGGGGTGTTCCATGCATGCCGTAAAATCCTAGCAAAGCTTTCTGATGACTGTAGTGTTATCCCCGTTTTACAGATGACAAAACAAAGGCTCTGTGTCTTACACAACTCAGCCCCGGCAGGTGTGCCCCAGCGTGTGTGATCCCATGAAGCACTAGTGTTCAGGGGGTGGGGGTGGGGGTGGGAACTGCATTTTAATGGGATTGCAGACAGGGGCAGATGTGTCAGTGCCCAATTTCCTCACAAACCGCTGACACGTCTCTTTTTTTTTTTCTGGAACCTTCTCTGGTTTTCCCCTTGGTTCATTGGGGTGACCATGGGAGCCTTCTCATTTGAGAAGCTGCTGGGTATGCCTAAACTCACACCTTTTGAGCTAATTGTGTACAATTTAGCATTCGCAAAGCGCTGACAGTCCTCATTCAAACCAAGTGTGAAAGTTTTTAAATTAGCTTTCACAGTTTGATTCACAGGCAGCAAATGCAAAATGGCACAGTATTCATTTTTTCCAACCACTGTCACGATGGCATCGCTGAAGGCTATCTTAGCTCATTTCCTTCAACAGTTAGAGAAGAGGCTGGCCAGGGGTACTGTTCTTAGTAGACGAACGTTCTAGAAGAGATCTCAGTGCTGTGGTTACTAAAAGAATCAGATCCACAAATTACATGTTGGCAATCTGGAACAGCATGTGTGAAGAGTAGGAACTTTGGAATTGGATGGTCTTGGGTTTGGTATCTTAGTTAAATTGCATACTGTTTTTTTGCAGCATCTTATTCTTGCATACTGGTTGTATGAATTTGGACAGGGCAGTTACCATTCTTTAGCCTCAGTTTACCTCATTGTGGGGCTTCCCTGATAGCTCAGTTGGTAAAGGATCTGCCTGCAATGCAGGAGACCCCAGTTCCATCCCTGGGTTGGGAAAATCCCCTGGAGAAGGGAAAGGCAACCCACTCCAGTGTTCTGGCCTGGAGAATTCCATGGACTGTATAGTCCATGGGGTCGCAAAGAGTCAGACTCGACTGAGTGACTTTCACTTTGCCTCACTGTAAAATGTAGGTAATATTTCCAATTATCCAAAAGGCTCTGGTGAGGATAAAATGATTACACTGTATGTCAGCTTGGCACAGCAGCTGACATCAGAGGAATCTCAGTGAGTTAGAGCTGTTAGATTCATCTTGAACTTTTCCTGCAAAAAGTGTTTGCTGTCTTGGAATTTTTTCCCTTAGGAAACATTTATTGAGCATCTGTTGTGTGCCAAGTGCTGTACACAGCACTGAAGATAAGTTGATCACAAAACAGTCCTGCCATGAAGGCCCTCTCAATGCAGAGATATATACATAAAAACTGCCTTATGATACAGCATGATAAGTGCAGTGTGGGTGTAGAACAGCTTCTGATCACCTTGCGGGGAGTGGTGGTAGACAGCCTTAGGGAATCTTCAGTGGTGTATCATCTTACACTGGTCAAAATGGCCATCGTAAAAAAAGTCTACAAATAATAAATTCTGGAAAGGGCTTGGAGAAAAAGGAACCCTTCTACATTGTTGGTGGAAATGTAAATTGGTGCAGCCATTGTGGAGGATAGTATGAAGATTCCTTGAAAAACTAAAAACAGAGCTACCGAGTTATCCTGCGATTGCACTCCTGGACATATATCCAGAGAAAACTAATTTGATGTTCATAACAGCACTATTCGCAATAGCCAGGACATGGACGCAATCTAAATGTCCATCAACAGAGGAATGGATAAAGAAATTGTGGTACATATATACAGTGGAATATTACTCAGCCATAAAAATGAATGAAATAATGCCATGGTTGGACCTAGGGATTATCATACTAACTGAAGTAAGCCAGAGAAAGACAGATATCATATGATAGTGCTTATATTGGAAAAAAAGATACAAATGAACTTATTTACAAAACAAATAGATCCATGGATATAGAAAGCAAATTTACGGTTACCAAGGGGGAAAGTGGGGAGGGATTAATTGGGAAGTTGAGATTGATATATACATACTACTATATATAAAATATATAACCAACTAGGACATACTGTATATCACAGGGAATTATACTCAGTATTTTGTCATAACCTATAAGGGAAATAAATCTGAAAAAGAATTTATATATATATTTATATTCTCTTTATTTACTCATGTATTCTTTTTATAAACTGAAATCCTGTGCTGTACATCTGAAACTAACAAAACATTGTAAATCAATTCTACTTCAATTAAAAAAAGATAACCTTGGGAAGCAGCAGCGTTTCAAAAGATACATAGGAATCAGCGAGGTAAGGAGAGTTTCAGGGAAAGAAAATAACCCACGACCGAGGCAGAGAGGTGAGAAAGAGTAAGGTTCATTCAGGGAATTTCTGGGTGCTTCCCTGTGGTTGAAGCATAGTGTGTATGAGTAAGTAACTTAGCCTGCCTCCACTTTCTCACCTGTAAAATGGTCATAGTGATAGGCCCTGCCTCGTAGGCTGTTGTCAGAATAAAATGAAGCAAGTCAAGGAATATCCTTGGAATACTCCTTGGCACTAAGCAGCAGAGAATGTTCTCAATCGCTGTTAAGTCGTGTTGAACCATGTTTAATGGATATCATTACCTAAGAGCTTCTGGGGACTTTGATGATGTCACAGTGCATTCTGTTATCAGAAGGGGTTTTGTATATGTGGTATTCCCTAAGCCTGCTTGACCACTAGTTGGATGGAGAACACTTAGTTTTTTAGAGTAAATTCTTGGTGGTAATCTTTTCTCAGGACCTTTGTGCTCTAAGATTGGGGAATACTGTGGTTAGATGCAGCAGACGAGATCTGTGTTCTTGTTCTAAAAGAAATTTACCTAGTTGAGATTCAAACAGTTCAAAAGAGAAAATTAAAAGAAGTTTTCATTTCTTTTTGTTTAGGAACCTGTTTTTAATACACACGTGCACGCGCACACACACAACAGTGTTGGCATTGGAGACTTGAAATAAAAACACACATTCAGAGGAGATAGAACCTGAAGGTTTAGAAAGAATCACCCTTTGTTTATTTAAGTATGTTCCTGATATTCATGTCAAGCTAATAGGGTTATTGGGCAAGTGTCAAAGGCATTATGTGGACAAGTGAAAAATCCATAAGGCGCAGAAATGTCTTCTAGCTTATTTGTTTGCTTAGCACTAAAACCAATGTTTGATGCCAGATGATCTCCCTGCTTCTTCCCACCATGTACCAGAGAATGAGCCAGGCAGGCTCCCTGGATTTGAGGTGAAGGGGAAAAGTGGGCAGGTTGACATAGCCCCCGATCAGAGATTCAGCCTTGGGGTTAAAAGCACACACACTGAGCTCAGACCACCCACCTCAGGGTGTCTACTGCTTACCAGTTGTGTAACCTCAGGAAACTCACTGATTTCCATGGGCCTCGATTTCCCCATCTATAAAATGGGGGCACAGAGCAGTAGCTACCTCGTGGAGCTGCTGAGTGTTATCATGTGGAATTCTTAGACCAGCCCCTGGGTGTCAGGAGGGCCATGAATTCTTCTATTCTGGAGCAAATTAGCTTCTCTGAGCCTTTGTTTCCTGTGATCATCATGCCCATCATCTGCAACTGCTGGAAGGTTGAAAAAAGAGGTTAAGGTGAGAGGGTGCTCAGGATATGGCTGTCCTTCTAGTGCAGAGGTCAGGGGCTGGTATCAGATGGACCTGGTGACTGGCTATGAAGCCTCTTGCTTCTGCTTCCTCAGCACACACACCTGGGGAGGTTGTGGGGGATCAAACATGCAGTGCATGCATTTAGCACAAGGCCAGGCCAGAGACTGAAGCACAGTGTTACCTATTGTTGTGTACTGAGCCAGGCTGGCAAGATTGA